GCCTATAGGAAAGATGGGGAAAATCTTTTTAGTAGGGCCAGCTGTGACAGGACAAGGGGTAATGGGTTTAAACTAAAGCAGGGTAGGTTTAGACTAGATATAAGGAAGAAATTCTTTACAATGAGGGTGGTGAAACACTGGAACAGGTTGCCCAGAGAGGTAGTGGAGGCCCCATCCCTGGATACATTCAAGGCCAGGTCGGATGGGGCTCTGAGCAACCTGATCTAGTTAGCAGTGTCCCTGCTCACTGCAGGGGGGTTGGACTAGATGACCTCTAGGGGTCCCTTCCAACCCAAAACATTCTATGATTCTATGAAGTACTTCTCTAGACCCAATTTTTCATCATTAAGTATACAGGCACATAACTTAGCCTCCTTCGTAGACACTTGACTACATTTGTAGTAATTTGTAATGTTTTCTTGAATGCTGCTGATATTAAAAGTTCATATGTAAACAAACCTTGAATTACTCTACTTTTGTATCCTGTTCCTACTTCATACTCTGTAACATACTGGGCAAAGATGAGAAGGTTTTGTGTCAGTTTGTTTGTTTGTTTTTCTTTAAACTACAGTACCTGCGTTATTTATTAAACTTCATTCATTTTATTTGAAGTGAGCTAGGAAGGTCAGCTTTGGAAGAGAATTACACTTGTACCCATGGCAGTCAAGGACACATTCTTGGAACATGCACCCAGCTGATATGAAACTAACCTGGAGCTGGATTCTAATCAGGGCTGGGTTATGCAGCTTTAGGAGTTAAAAGGCTGAACAGCTTTCAACTAGCTGATGAAAGCTATTTTGTAAGTTCTAGGAACAACTCATAACATACCACAGGTTTCAGTTCTGTAACTATTTAACAACAGTGAGGTGTATACTAATTTTATTCCTATACTACATAATATTGTTAAGAGAAGTCATCAGCCAAACAGCTCTACCAAAATCCTTAATTATTAATATCTTTAATAACTCAATGTAGATGTGCTATGTTGATGACAGTGCCATTTATGGCTTTTATGACAGAATTAACGATGTCTAAAGTTTTCCTTGCATATTTTTATTTATATAAATTTTAAAATGTATAATTTCCTTATTTTTATGTGCCATTTTGGAATTAAAGCTAGCTACATCACCTCCACAAGGCCAACTCATCATTAGAAAGAGTATAAACATATACTAGGGTTTTGCTGAAAAATCCCATGCTTAGCATGAAAAAAGAATCCTAAATTATTTCTCAGTTTCTTCAGAAACTGTAATTTCTAAGATGTATGTAGGTATCTGGTAAATCACAGTCATAACTGAAGGATGACAATTTTTCAAATGTTTTCTCTTGAATTAAACACTCATATACGTTTAATCTGTTAATGTTTCCACTTCTATTAAATGCTGGCCAAACACTTTTTAACAAACATTCTTTAGAGTAAAATCTGCTTCTTAGTCAAGATTTGGTATTGTCCCAGAATCAAACACGCAGTAAGTGTGGTACTAAAGGAAAAAGGAGTTCTGTGAACTTCAACTTGAAATCTAATTCAAATGCCTTTCACTTTACATTGACTTAACCTCCTCCCCAACTGAATTTCTAAAGCACTACTTACACTTGTTCTTTTTTTCCAAATATTTGATAACTTACAACATTAATGAAGAATTTCAAAATCATTAAAATCAAGTGGAAGGGCATCAATTACAAGGTGGTTTTTATGGCATTGATCCTAAAAAGCTTAATAATATTTCATGCAACTATGACAGTGAACATACAGTAGTTTCTACATGATAGTAATTTAAAGATTTCAACTAACTTGCATACATGAAAAAGGAAAATAGACCATGAGACCAAAGACAACATAATTCAATGAACCACTTAAAAAATAAATGCTAAAACCCCATATTTGTCCTGTTAAAAACATATTCAATTGTTGAACTGATAAAATAATAAAACTAAATATTGTCTCCATTTTTTTGCACCAATTGCTTTATGCCTACTGCTTTTCTCATTTTTAGTTACATGGACTGCCCCTTTGCTTCCTATCATGTAATGACTCTGAAAAATTATAATTAAGAAAAATAACATTTATTGTGCTCTTGCAGCTGAGAAAAGAAGGGTATAATCTTTACTTTTGAACAGCAATGTTCTGTAACCCTCTGGCAAATTTCCTATCAACACACTGAGATAGGAACTTCCGATTTCTACTCAGCTCTTCACACAGAGATCCCACTGGCTTCTAAGGGATCAATACATACCAAGTGGAAAGACTGCTATATTTAATTTTATTTCCTACTCATTTCCTTTAACATCTATCCCAACTGTCTCCACAAGACAGACATCCAACTCAATATTTTCCAGTTTCTGGGGCTGTTTTTGCCCTTGAACAGTAACACGAAGGGGAAGACCTTAGCACGCCACATTGCTTCAGGATATCAAACTCACTTAGCAAAACCACTGGCAGGTGAGCTACATAACTTAAGACACAGTTTGTAAGCAGTCAGAAGCAATACCTTTAGCTCAGGCATGTTTATTATAAGCTGCATAGGTAGTTTAACATCTGGGTCCTTTGTATAGTCCATGGGCACAACATTTGGTGCCATTTCATGGTATCGGCCATGCAACCTGTAAACAAGCAGAAAAAAACAGCCAATAACCAATTTTAAATAACCAATTCCATTCATACAGTAATCAGACTCAAATTTGTCTTGCAGCTCTCATTATTTTTAGTTCACAAGTCTGAGCCTACCAAATTCCCATCTTTTTGAGGAAAAAAAAAAAAAAAAGAGGGCTTTTATCCAGTATCCAGCATAACTGCTACTAACACCTATGTGTAACTTGTGGCATTTCACGCTACCTGTATATAACATTTAAGCACCATTTAGGTACATGCACAGAAGTAGGCCTGGACTGAAGTACTAACACTGTGATGGGTCACATCTCAGTGCAGATTATTGGTTCATCTGCACTATGCAAGAAAAATTTTGTTTAACAGCTCAAAGAACTTAAAAGCCAAACAATATGCAACTATAATGCTATAGACAACAGTATCCTTGGGAGACCTTACTTCCAAATTAAAAAAGCCCTTTTCCCATCTGCACCTCACTAACATAGCAGATTTAGCCTTATGAATTCTAGCACTGGCTTACACCAGCAGACAGATCATTTCCACTTCATTCCATTTCTCTTAGTTTTGTTTCATTCTCAGCTTAGCTTCTTCATCCAGACAGTATGTTTTAAAAGCAATAAACAAGTGTTTTTCCTGAGAGATGCAAGCCAAACATAGCTTCACTCTCTAAAGCTTGCTTATCATGTTAACAGTATTATGTTATAGTTTTGGTAAGGGAGCTGGGAAAGGAAGAGTCAAAGGCCACGAAACACACTGATGTTTCTAAAGGTTCAGAAGCTGAATACTAGTGAATTATAAAAACTGTCTCAGTCTCACACATAACCTGGCCAAAGACTGCACAAATGTTTCTGCTTCTACAACATTACTTCCAACTGTTAATTGAATTAACAAGTGTTAATCCCACCCTTTATTTGCTGTCTCCAAATATTCCAGTAAATGAGGTCAAAAGCATAGCCCAAAAGCCCAGAGGAAACAGCCACGTGTAAAGAAAACATCCAATTCAGCAG